GCAACCCAACCACACAGCGGGTTCCCCAAATTCATGTTTTGACTTCACTTTTTCTTTATTTTCCATTTTCTTCCTACCTCTTTCTTACTTCATCTGACCCGCAGAGCGGGGACTTCTAGCGCAGGGATCGTGGGCAGTAATTTGTTGACCAGGATGTTGTTCTTATGTTTCGTTTTACATCCTTCAAGGCTTCATAACATCTTATGGTTTCCTAACTCAACGATCCGCTCAAGATGGAACACTCAATGGATTTTCCTATCGTCCCAGTCCCATCTGAATGATGATGAACGTCTTACGCAATTCACAAGTATTATTAATGCCATTACGTAACCTGTAACTCACTACTCATTTACTACCATTTACATTTCATCATTAACTCCATTCCTGCTATATATCCATCATTGAACTTTCGGCTGATACCGGGAACGCCTACATTTTCCGTCTCAAGTGAACGTTATGTAACGCCAAACCAGAGGTTTTCCGCTTATTATATAAAGCGGTGGTACGACCTCATTTGAAGTACTGCTTGCAGGCATGAGCACCGTATCTCAGGAAGGATGTGACCTGCATAGAAAGGGTCCAAAAACTGGCGATTGTGGGCCAGCGCAGGAAATTATACGATGAACGCCTAAAGGCCCTAGGATTGTTCCCTGTGTGAGTGACGCAGACTATGAGGTGACTTGCTAGAAACCTTCGAAATTATAAAGGGCCTCAGCGGGATCAAGCCCTTTGATTTGTTTGAACTTGCTGCATCCCACCACCTACGGGGACATGAATTTAAGATTAAGCATCAGAGATTCCGGCTGGAGATTTGGGCCAAGTTTTTTGCAAATCCTGTTATTCATCATTGGAACAAACTTCCTTCTGCCTTAACTGAAGGTGCAGCCATCAAAAATGCCTGCATAAGCGTTGGCTGGATCTTTTTCCGGAATTATTGTAAATTTATTGGCAGTTGTCATAGACCTTGTGGTCCATTATCTAAGCAAGTACGATGGTTGCTCTTGTCTTGCTCCATCTCTTTTCCAGAAGCAAGGAAGACAACTTAGAAGTCGAAGCCAGCTCTTCCATCTAGCTCGGTCTCTTACTAGGTGGTTGTCATAATACCATCCAACCACCTGTGAAGTATCTACTCTTCTTTTCAGCCCCATCGGTATCTCGCGATGTATGCGGAGGCATTCTGAATCCAGATTCGATTCATGCGTGTGACGTGCAGCCCTCCCGATCTCACTGAGTTCGATCCTGACCAACCGGGTCTTTCCTGCTCCTAATAGGAGCATTGCACGCTACATGAGTTGCGGGTCACCCTCGTTCGAACATCAGGGCGAACTTTTTTACAAACCGAGTAATTAACGTCTGGAATAAACTTTCTTCTGATTTGGTGGAATGTGAGACTGTAGAAGCCTTCAAAAGGAGGCTTAGGTAAGTGTTGGTCTGAGCTTCCTCCAGAGATATCGTAATTATATTGTTCATTATATAGTGCATTCTGATGCTGAAACATGAAAGTGCAAAGATGGCTCTTGTTCTTACTTCATCGTTTTGCAGAAGCAAGAAGAGAAATCGCCGAAGTGCCCAGGGGCGGTTTTTCACTTACCGGCACAAAGTACAGGACGCTGGCTAGGAGAAAGCCTCTATCGTCCTGCTACCTGACTTGAGACGGACTCTCGAGAATTTGCAACATTGTTAAGCGAATTATTACTTTATGTTTAATTAAACACTATGATCATTCTTACGAATACATAATCGGTAATATTCATTTACGTAAACGCTACTGGATTGTGTTTGCTTAAGCTACATGCAGTGTAGCATACGACGCAGGAAGAAGTCCGAGAGCGAAACGGAAACTTGTATTACGCAACACGTGGCTACTATAAAGCCGAAACAGATGCAACTATTAAAAAATTGGAAAAGGCGTTATGTTTAACAGTCTTCTCTGTTTTCTTGCTCCTCTTCAGTCACAGCACAAGCGCGCATCTCTGAAATACAAGCGAAAAACGCCGTTATAGCAACTGTTTAAATTTAGTTTGCGCTGTTTCCATCGTTGCCTACACTGCATTCCCTCTAATCGGGCAACCTACCCGGTGCCTGACCGTATCCCCCCTTGTACAAGCACTGCTAGTTCCGCGGCTGCTTCCGGGGGTGCTTCTGCCGGTTCGCTACCGACTTCCTCGGTCTCCTATCGGAACGGCTTGAGATGATTAAAGTGTACCGTCATCGGCAGACTGTTGGGGCAGTCGCAACGTTTTACTATACACTTGGTATCGGACAGCATTCACTCCACTACGTAGGGGCCAACCCACTCGCGGTGGAACTTTGTAGGCATTCCTTGGGTTTGAGTGTGATGTAGTCAAACAACTTCACCAACTCTTAGGGGGCCACCGAAGATATTCTTGTCATCATACTCCTTTTGGTGCCGTCGGGCAGTTTCCAGATGCGCCCGCGCAGTCTGATGTGCTTGTCGGAGTGGATCCAGTAACTTACTGACGTACTCCATTACTGATGGCTGTAATTGCCGAGTCATGAGGAGACGTAAACCCAAAGGCAACCTTGGCTCCCGTCCAATCCACATGAATTGGGGTGTTTGTCCCGTCAAGGAATGAACCGTACTTCGGTAGGCCAGCATACACTTCCGCAACCTGGTGTCCCACTCATTACTATTCTGGTCTACAAAGGCCTTCAGTAGTGCTTTGAGAGAACGATTAGTTCGTTCAACTTGCCTGTTCCGTTGGGGCTGATATGAAGTCGTCCTCGTATTGTTTATCCCAAACCCTGGCAAACTTCTTGGGCCAGTGCACTCTCAAAACAGGAACATCTATCGGAGTGTAACTGTCCTGGTGCTTTTCAGCGACAAACCCAGTGATTCACAATTGCTGTCGCCACAGTAACCGTATCGGCCTGTGCGATCGGTCCAGCCTCGCACCACTTTGTAAAGTAATCCACCATGACATAAAAAGCGATGCCCTCGTGATGTTTCGGGTAACGGCCCCATAATGTCTACGCCCACTATCTCGTTAGGATATCCGGCCTTCATAGGTTGCAACGGAGCGCGCTTGGGGAATCGAGGATGTCTAAAGGAAGCACAGTTCTCGCAAGGCTGGCAAAGTTGATTACGTCTCTTCGTTGGTGTGGCCACCAGAAACGCCGTCGTGCTGCTGCATCCATTTTGTTAGTCACAGCGTGTCCCAACTCTTTGTGAAGGTTACTTAACACGTTTGACCATGGATTGGGGACTACGATTCTTCTAGCGTAAGTCGGACCAAAATTGAACACCAACACTCCTTCCTCAGTGGTTAGTTTGAACCACAAGCACCGCGCCTCATAACTTTTTCCGTCTATCTCCTTACTGGTTGGCCTGTTACTGCCATGAAGACACCTTTCATAAATCTGGATCGTTCGCCTGCGCCATTTGTGAGCATCCGTACTCCGCGCTCTGGAGGTTAACAATGACTACGTGTTGTGTATTGCACGAAGCGCTATCCCCATGGTCCCCGAGCGGAATTCGAGACAATGTGTCTGCATTAGTTTACTACTTGCCCGGCCGATGTTTGCATACGAAATCATATTTCTGCAGCTGTTCTTGCCAGCACGCCATTTGTCCTTTAGGATCGCTGAAGTTTTGCAGCCATCGAAGGGACTGATTACCAGTCCGTATAACAAATCTCCTTCCAAGTAGATAATGCCGATTCTGTCTTATGAAAAACACCAAAGCTAGCATTTCCTTTCTGGTAGCGCAATAATTTCTCTCTTTTGAACTGAGGCTTCTACTGATGCGGTATACTACTCTTTCTATTCCGTCAGCACCTTCCTGTGGTAAAACAGCTTCAATCGCCTGGTCACTCTTATCGGTGTCAAAAATAGATACTCCAACCGAGCCTGATAAGTCAGAGTACACTAGCACAGAGGCCGTACAGAGAGATTCACGGGGCCGATCAAATGCGTCCTGGCATTCGGCTAATCACTCAAACGTTCGACGTCGTCATCGTTAATTTCAACTTTCTCTGGCACGCCTATTAAGGCATCTGGGTTCGGTGCACCCTATTTGCTCAACTAGCTCATTGAATAAGTACTATGAAGCGGCCATTGTGATGAGCCGTACCTGGTGTCCAAATAACATTTCGCATTCTATCAGAAGGCCCATCTGAAACATGCTATCTGTTTTTGTCCACTTTGACCCAGCCTCAGTTGGGTTATATCTTGTAACTACCTGCCGAAAACCACTTCTTCAGCTTGTTTTCAACCCTTCTGCACAACACAGTTACAAGCATAAACTACACAGCTACACACACACACACACACACACACAATTACATGCTTACAGACCCCACTACACAAACCTACGCTGTTATGGCAAACATATGGGATTTTTGCACATTCTTGATCACGGATTGTTATGTCAAAATAATCATGCCTGTAAAGGCGTGCCTCGCCTTGTGGAGAATAAGAGCCTTATTTATTTATTTATTAAACTCGATATCACAAGGAACAGGAAGCATATGACTGTTATATCAGTAAATAAGGGGTTAGCGTGCCTAGGACCACATTCTACTCCGCGGAATTTTAACTGTTTTAACCAGTCCTGCTTTAGCTGAGTTTTATAAACCTAACAAACAACAACTGCCCTCCAACTATCCCGTCAAGTGGTAACCGAGTGCTTTCTTCACTCAGAACGGGTGATTATTAAGCTGATACGCGCTTTTAAGTACAGTAACAAAGGATGTATGCTCTAAAAGCAAACGCGAAAAGGATAGATTAATAAAGGGCCGACACCGTTATAGCCTAAATTGGCTGGTCAGTTTTCTGTGCTCCATTGCTTTTTTTACTCAACGCATCAATATATAAGGTGGTGAGCAATCATTTGACACAAACTTTTCGCATATTTGTCATCTTCCTGAGCACTTCTTTTATTTGTTTTCTAGACTTACTTCTGAACCTTTGAGATATCTCAAATAATACACTAATCGCCAGGTTCATAAAATTTACCTCGCCGTCTTCCTCTATACTTCATGGCTGACGGTTTGAACGACATCCCTTTTCATACAAAGGCTGAGTTATTTACTGACCAACAAGAGTCATTCGTACTGAGGCAGCTGCATTTAAGCCGAGCGAAGTTGCGTGCCTCGAGCCGTGTGTCCGCCTTACTGGCTGGTTTTGCTATGGTTGCCATTGTCGAACTCGAGGTATGATATGTATGTTTTAATTTTTGAATCCGCAGATTTGTGGGCCTCGTGCTAAGGCCCCCGAAGGGCTTATTATTGCATTCACCGCGTTGGCCTGCTTATTAGTTGCTGTGCACATGATTGCTGTAATGATAAGCACTTGCATTTTGCCCCATTTGGACGCCTACGTTAATCTTCCTGAGAACGCTGCTGCGATGGAGGCGCCCCACAATCGTCTGAAGATGTATGTTTTGGTTCATTCTGATGGCGCTTACCCCCAGTTTCATTGATGTTGCTTGGGTTTTCAGCACTGTAGTTGGTATCCTACTCTTTTTGGCTTTCGTTGTGCTCGCATGCTGGGTGAAGTTTTGGGCCCTTAGCCGCATTTCAGCCATTGTCAGCACTGTGGTCCTAGTCCCAGCATTACTTGTTTTCGCAAGTTTTGCCGTACTGTTCTACTATGCTCTTGTAGGACATAAGGTTCAGCGCGCTAACGAACTGATCAAGACACTGGATATGCGCATGCACCTTTTGGAATCGGGGGAATTGAAGATAAATGAAACCGATTTGAAGGAGGATGACGCTGGCATTACAACCACCACGCTACCTGCATGCGGATATTCGCCACCTAGTCATCTTGAACCAACCATTAAAGCATAACTGAACACCTGAAAACGATTTTCAACTGTGCTTTTCTCTTCCTTATTTTTATTATTTACTCAATTCTGTACAGCCTAGTAAAATAACATCTAACGTGGTCAACCATCTTGTTTGTTTTTAATTGATCTCATCTTACTTGTATGCTGCTTTCCATATGCGTGTCATTCGTTATCGCATCATATAGTGCTACATCTATTCTTCGACGCTAATCTGCCTTACTTTGTTAGTTTCGTCTAGCTCAGATGCATTCCCTTACCATGCACGTCGTTCGATCATTTTTCTCCCGTTGTATTGTTTCCCTACCCATAAAAAGGCAGGCATCAGCAGTACGCCGGTACACAGTATCGACGCTTCACTGCCGCGCAACCACTATCGGTCGCACGCGGGTTAAGGATACTGCGAGGGTCGCCCTGCTCCCCCGCGGGCTCGAATCCGCGCCGTCAGACTACAAAATAAGCTCGTAACCCTTAGGCTTCTTGCGTTAAGTTTTGTTAGCTATAGAAATGAAGACTGGTAGTTCAGGTTGTTCAGATAGCAGTTGAAATGTTCGCTTAGCTTGACAATTTGGTTGTAAACGTCACCAATCGAAGTGACATCATCAGTGCGTTGTTGAGTAGCCAGTAGCGTAGCGTAGGGAAGCCTCGGTGAGTGTTTTGTGTCGGAACAGCAGTCTTCAGCTGGCCACGACATTGACCTAGCTACACCTGTTCACCTGGATTTCTTAAGAGTCACAACAACATAAGCACGGGTGTGCTCCTCAAACTCGACGCGATGCTTTTTGTTTCTATCCGTGAGTAGGCACCATCTCCCTGTAAGATTCACTCTTTTCATGATGAAACAAAATGAGCTAATTGGAGGGTCAATTTTGCATTACACGTTGTGTGATTGGATGGCGACGCACAGTCTCATTGTAGACCGCGATGAACATTAAAGTGTACCTTGGTCACTGTGATCACTAGGGCCGTTGCCGAAGCAGACGGAAATTGGGTCTTGCCCGCCCGAAAACACTGCGCAACCACGACGCGTTTCGATGTCATTTCATCTCATCAACACCCAATATGAGCTGATATTATTCAGCGGGAGCGTTGGTTTGTTCCAAGCAACTTCAAGTCCCTCGAACAGCTCACCCATCAATCTTATTGGTTGGCTACATTCCAAACGTAAGTTGATAATTTTTTGTTTACCCACAAGTATGCACTTATTTTCTGGTTAATTGCACCGTTTTGTTAGCTACTTCTGCGGCACACTTTTGCATCGAGGTTGATAAGTACTAATTTTTGTATGTTCTGGACATGACTGGGAACACCGTCGTCTCAACAGGAACCGCATATGAAGAGGAAGATCTAACATCACGAATTTTCCCTCTGTTGTAGCGGAATCAGCGCTTCTGTTTTCAACTTCGATCACTGATGAATATCTGCTCGAAAAACAGGTAGGCTTTTACCCAATCTCTATAGTGTTAGGCTCTAGCGATCATCCCGGGCTGGTTCGTATTATTTTCTTACACAAGGGATTCGCGATCGACCGCATCAGCGGCAAGACATCCTGTCAGATGTGGCGCAGTCGCGTTGTCATTGGTGCTCACATTGTGTATTTTTGAGGCGGACCTGTGCTGTCTCTGAACCACACATACCAATTCATCATCATCATCATTATACCTTAGCGGAAGGTGAGAAGTACCTCAGCTGTTGTACCATAGTACTGCAGATATATAAGAGAAGCGAGATACTAGACAAGCATAGTGTGAAATGAAAGCAAACAAATCAGATAATGCTTAGTATCATAGTATCTATCTAATTTAAGGTCGTGATTGGCGGGGGAAGCTAAGCGAGCGAGGGCGGAACAAAGTGATTCATGAAGCAAACGCCACTGAGGCCGGATCCTCACCATGGCAACATGAGTATCCAACCAAAAGTGTCCATCCTCCTTGGGACCCCAACCAGGCAGTTGGGTGGCGCCAACTGACATCAAGTTCGAAGCGTGAGTTTCTTAGTCTCTTGATCAAATCATCGGTTGGCCTCTCCTTTTCTCTCATCTAGACTCCGGGCGCGCAAACCGCACGTCGCAGGAGTCTGTGTGCTAGCATCCGCAGCACGTAGCCCAGCTATTAGGCCTGTTGCATGATATAACGGTGCCTCCAAACTTCTCATGGGTATCATTCTTCGATGACTTACTGGTCGTTGTGAGAACAAAATCATTGGAAGCTAAGCTATCATTCGCCCTGGCCGTCGTTGCATCCATTACATATTTATTCTTCATTAAATGTTGGGGCAGAAACACACTTGCAGGCAACCGATTATGGTGATTCTCCCTGACCTGGCAACTGCCTTTGACTCGGTGTATCGCGCTAGCTTATGGCACTGCCTATTTGTTCTGCCTGCTTCTGCGTTCCTCCAAAGATGACTGATATAGTCATTCTTCTCGGAAACTTTAACGTACGGGTGGGCCGCTGTCCACCAAGCGAGCACCACCTTGGGGGTAGTTTTTGTCTCGGTAGCAGTCGATCGGACAATGGAGACAGACTGCTTGCTCTTTGCTCTGATCATCGCTTGTTTCTTTCGAGCACTAGTTTTCTGCACTCGATGGGACACATTGCTACCTGGCGCCCACCCTCACAAACGCAAGAGTGCTGTTAGCTTGACCACATAGCAATCAGCTACAGATGCCACGAAAGCGTAACGGACTGCCGATCGTGCTGGTTAACTTATCTAGACTCCGATCACGCATTGGTTCGTGCTAGGATTTGCATGCGTTTCAGAGGATCACCCAAGCGGGCTCACTACCGGCCGGACGTCGCAAATCTACAAAACCCTGCGATTTTAACCAGGTACCAAGCCTCACTGTCAATATTGCTTGGCTCAACTATTGACGGTGACCTCGATTCTCAATGGGTGCAGATCAAAGATGCCTTAGTTTCCGCCAGTATCGACACTTGTAGAGTTGCCCGGCACACACCGAAGCACTGGATTTTTGCCGTCTCTTTGTCGCTGATGGACAAACGCCACTTGATCCCGTCGGATTCCAGACACAGTGAAGAACGCCAATCCCTGAGTCGAGAGTTGCGCAGGAGTCTGCAAATGGACCGCAAAGCTTGGTGGTGTGAACATGCTAGGGAGATGGAGCTTGTTAGTCTCTCTGATAATACCAGAAAACTTTTTTTATCTCATTCGAGTCATCGAAGGTGTTCGATCTGGTATAGGTGAAATAATATGCGAAGAGGATGGCACCTTAATCACTAATCTTCAACGACGGTCAGAGCGATGCGCCGAGCGATGGCTCGCAGTCTTGTTGGCCCCCAGCTCCGTCTGCTATCTCTGGCGATCGCATTAGTGCCGAGTGGTCTACCCCCACAGATCCTCCCTCTTACCAGAAAATCGAGCAGAAGCTCCGGCACATGAAGCGTTATCAAGCCCCTGGCCCTGATGGTCTTCCTCCAGCTCTATTTAAAGATGGTGGCGCTTCGCTGGTTCGGGAACTCACAGTTTTGTTCTCGAAAGTTTGGTCGAAAGAGGAAGTTCCATCATGGGATGAATCGATAGTGGTCCCTATCATCAAAAATGGCCTGCGCACAATTTGCTCCAACTACAGAGACATAAGCTTAGTCCCCGTCGTTTGCAAGCTGCTAGTGTCCATCATACTTCACAGGCTATCCCCAACGCGCGAATCGTTGCAGCGAGAAGAACAAGCTGGGTTTCGCCCTGGTCGCAGCTGAATTGATCAAATATTCACGTTCTGCCAGATCCTCGAGCTCCGCCATGTGTATCAGAGGCCAAAGTTTACTGTCTTTTTGGATATCCGTGCAGCCTTCGATTCTGTCGATCGGACGGTACTGTAACACTGTCTACTGAGGAATGGCTTCCCCGGAAGTTCGTCTCCATATTGTGCGCTTGCTATGGTCTGACCTCGCGCAAGGTTAGGGCTTATGGCAAGCTTTTGCCTTCTTTCGCAGTCTCCAGTGGAGTTCGACAAGGATGCCCTGTCTCTCCGTTCCTCTACAACTTTGCCATTGATGATGTCCTAACGAACGCTCTGGGCGATTTGTTGAACACTGGCGTTGAGCTCCTCTCAGATAGTCGAGTTGTTGATTTGGACTATGCTGACGATATCGGCTTGCTGGGTGACGATCCACACGCTGTCCAACTTGCACTAAACCACTTGGCGAGTGAAGCATTAAAGTATAGTATGTACTTTTCGCCATTCAAATGCAAGGCTGTATTTCAAGACTAGCAGGTGCCTGTGCCTGCACTCACTCTAGGTGATGAGACACTGGATGTTGTGGAGAGCTACTTGGGAAGTTGCATCACTGCTGGTGGGGCTGTTGGAGACGAGATCTCGATACGCATCTCGAGAGCATGCCTCGCTTTTTCTAGGCTAAGGCACTTGTGGCGTCGCCACGACATTCGTCTCTCCATCAAACGGCGTGTCTATTGTGCAACTGTTCGTGCTGTACTGTTGTACGGATGCGAGACCTGGCCCATTCGTAAAGATGACTTGCACAGGCTGTCCTTCTTCGAGCACCGCTGTCTGCGGTCCATTGCCCGTGTGTGGTGGCGGCACCACGTAAGCAGTGTGGAAGTTAGCACGTGTCTTGGGACGAGCAAGCCACTCGCTCGATGAGCTCGTCTCACGGCATCAACTGCAGTGGTTGGGACACGTACTGCGCATACCTGTTCAGCGTTACCCCGTCGTGCGTTGTTTGCGGTTTCTGGACAGGGCTGGAAGAGAGGGTCTGTGGACAGTGTGAAACGGAGAAGCCGCATGAAAAAGCTGGCGAAACAGTTAGCTTTGGCCGGTTGTTGTCGACCATCTGTTAGGGGTCCGAGAGATGCGGATACTTGCTGGTTGTAGACGTTGGAAGCCATGGCTAAATATCGATGTCATTGGCGGACGTGTGCTCGGTGTTGCGGTGTCCCTCTTTCCTCCTCCTGAAAAAACAAACTGAAAAAATTTAAGAACTGTGAGTGGCAAACTGGACTAAAAAGCTTGTTATTGTTTTGATTATTATTCATACTGTTTTCCTATTCAGCCATGATTCCGGTAGCACAATATCTGTACCAGTATATATATATATATATATATATATATATATATATATATATATATATATATATATATATATATATATATATATATATATATATATATATATATATATATATACTGCCTATTCGTGAAAGACGTGCCAGCTAAACCCCTTTAGACTCTGAAGTCTCTACCTTGACTCTTGAGGGCGGATTAAAGTTTACAGGAAGCCGTTTCCTGAGATTCGCCAGGGTTGTCCTGCATTTCTTTTCCTCCTCTACTTTGTAGTCGAACTGATCATGAATGGCTTTTTAGACTCTTCGGTATTGGAAGCAACCGGCAAACAAACCTTGAGTATGCGGACGACAAACCTCCACTTGGGCCTGATGATGTTTCTATGCAAACGTAACTGAATACGCTGATGCGTAGCGCTGCATGTCTCGCTACGTGCTTTGCATCATCAAAGTGAAAGTACTGTTGTAGGACTGAACCGATACTCCCGAGATTTTAGCTCTTAACAAACAGGCACTAGAAGTGGTGGATCGGTTCACTTGTCTTGTTAACTTCACTCAAATGTTTGCTAAAGCTCAACCGCTTGCGTTGGCTGAGTCATGTCCTCCGGGTACCAGTTTAACGGCTTCGCTGGTGTGCATTTTACGCCGTGGCTGCACCAACTTGGTCGAAACTGCGAGGTGTCCAGTCGATGACTTGTTACAAAGGCATGAAGAAGTCGACTTTGAGGTTTAGCTAGGCTGGTGTGTGCCGTTTTCGTGGATGCGGGCCCCGTGCTGGTCGACACCTGAACTTAGGGGCTTCATCAGACATGTCGCAGTCAGTGGCGTTCCTGCATTTAGTTTCTTACGTCTGGCTGTTAATTTCCATTCTACGCTGTTTAGTTTAGCGTACGATTCTCTTTGTATTTTACTTACGCTTAGCCATATTTTCTTACCTTTGTTGTTTATTGTTACTCTGGTAATGTGAGTCGCAGAAACTGTATCCACTGCACTTCGGTGCCAGAATCATCTTTGTTCAACTGAACTGAACTTAGCTCGTGGCGCAGGTGTTACCTCAGCACTGAAAAATTGTGTAGAAAATACTGCCGTACGTCCAACCCTGTTGTAAGGTTACGAAGTCCGGCCCATCAGATCGACATACGTAAAGATGTCAGTTGAATTCTGACCACCGGTGCCTTCACAGTTAAACTCATATCTGGTGGAAGCAGCGCGTGAGCGATGTGTGTGCTCGGCGCGTTGTTTGTGGCGCGGAAAAAGAATTGGCTCCGATTTCTGTGTTAGATGTTAGGCTAACACCACACGGACATCCACCGTCGCATCGAGACAGCATAAACGTGGGGCTGCTGTTTGCGGTACACTGTGTTGTGTACTCTCCCCACCCCGAAACCCCTGTGAG